CCTGGAGGCGTGGGTTCGAATCCCACTTCTGACAAACACATTTTCTTTGTTTCAGTGCTAATAACAGCCAGTAGTTTCCGACGTAGTTTCTTTTTAAATCTGCGATGTGTTTTGCGAATAAAGAAATATTACGTATTCGAACAATATTTCCCTCCTCTATTATTATTATTGCCATTTAAGGTAGTGTTCAGAGGTTGGAGGAAAGAAATATTTTTATTAAACTTTTCTGAACGATATATTGCCAAGGCGGCGGGCAGAGGGTCAGAAGCACAGAGCGGGGACCAAAGAGGTGCCCCCACCCCATTTCAGTAAGACATTGCGGGAGCAATGCCTAATTGCTGCAGAAGCGAGAAGCAAAGCGATCTGGAGAGACGGGCTGCAGTCGAAACGAGCCTGGGATTCTTCTTAAAGGAACACGAGCCCTTTCAGATCATCCCCCATTGCATGGAAACCAAGGCTTCCATGGCCTCTCATGTTTGATATGAGGACGAGGTGGAGGCATGTTTGCTGGCCCCGGTGAAATGCAGGCACTTTGCACATGCTCAGATGCACAATCTTTGCAGCGTCCCCTTGGTGTTGAGCCCTGCCACTTGGGTGTGAGTAAGCGAGCATTGAGTGAGGCAGTTGAGAGGAGTAGCTTGTTTGTTTGTTTGTTTGTTTGTTTACTAATAAAAAGTTTTATTTATAAAGAACTACCATTCAACACCAATGTAGAAAAGTTATTGAAAATTATGCAAGCACAAATTAAGTAACTGGCTTCATTCTTCACTCTTCAGACACCAATGGTAGAATTGGGAGTGATACCATTAAACCACTGCATGTTTTCTTCTATAGGTTTAAAAATTAAAATAATAAGCAAAACAGACTCAATAGCTGTTTTGAAGAATATTACTCTGTAGAAGAGTAATATTGTCTCCTTTTAACATGATTCGACCCAGCTGTTTACTTGATTTTGTCTTGGAGTGAATCTCCTCAGCATCATCCAGAACCAAGTTCATATATTCATCAAATCCAATAATACAGCCTTCTATCCTCATGTTCACCTGCTCAAACAGCCACACCTGAATTCTGGACCTGTTCTGTAGCTGTCTGAAGATGAGGTTGATGGGCTGCACCATCACTTTCTGCACCTGGGCTGGGAACGACCCCTGAATGGACGAACCGACTTAGGCTGGACGGGGCAGCCCGCTTGTTTGATTGATTGATTGATTGATTGATAGCGTGCGGCTTTCTCTGTTGCACATCAACGGCCGGCTTGAGCTCTGTGCTTTCACTTTGAGCGCTTCCTTTTCTTGGGACAGGAACGCTTTGCTCAAGCTGAGATGCCACAGAGCAAAAACCATAGTTAGAATAATCATATGATGATGCAGCCCCTGTACCTCTTTAGGTGGGGGAAAAGCTCAAACTAGAAGAATGAAAGGAACTCTCAAGGCACCGCTGGGATTCGAACCCAGGATCTCCTGTTTACTAGACAGGCGCTTTAACCAGCTAAGCCACGGCGCCTATTGTTACATCATACCTTTATTGAGGCCTCCCCTAAAGAATAATTCAACTACTGCATTTCACAATGTAGGAATGTCTTAAATGCCAGGATGGGAAAGTGCTGTTGTGCTCAAGTCCTGTTTGCTGGTTTCCAAAAGGCACCTCTTTGGCCACTATGGGGATACTGGGTGGTCGCTGAACCGATCCAGCAAAGCTCTTCTTATATTCTGATGTTCCTCTTCCCTTCCCTTTCATTTTGTATGACTATTAGATTATGCGTGTGTGGGCAGAGACTGCCTTATCTTGTCACTTAGCAGACCTTAGTAAAAAAAAAAAAAGTGCTTCATAAATGTGTTTTTTTTGTTTTATTTTTATTTTACAAATACCCCACAACAAGCCAAATCAATAACAACAACATCTTGCTTTATTTAGCATGAATTCATAGCTGTCAACTTTCCCCCCTTATTCCGAATAGGATTCCTCGCAAGAAAAGGGCAAAGTTGACAGCTATGAGCATGATATATACTAGACCCACCCTCCCCTTTGTGGGGAACATAATAGGAGTCAATGCAGGTAAGGCTCGATGAATTGCAACCCAATTTTCCCCTTCCACGATATGAGATTTAGGAGATTTCAAGGAAAATGCACCCCAGAACCCAACCCGGGATCCTTCCGAATAAGCTCCTAATTTTGTTTGCTTCAGGTCTTGCAGAAGGAATAATATACCTAAGAGGATACGATCAAATTGTGAAACTCGCTTCCCTCTTCGTGTGCATTCTGCTTGTCCCCTCGGATCCTTCCAGCTGAAGGTCCCTCGCTTGCAGAAGCGACAGTGAGCTGCCGAGAGGCGGAGGGAGCTCACCATTCATTCTTTGCAGAAAAACAAGCACTGATCATTCCCCTGGGCTTCTGCTTTTCTCCGCCGCTGCCTGTGCATGAGATCGGGCAGGCAACCGCCCCAATTTCCCTTGGCAATGAGAAAAATATGCGTGTTTTCAGAGTGCGGGCATCAGGGGAAATTCAAAGTGCTGCATATACAGTAAAGTACTGTAGTCTAATCTCGAAAAAAAACCGAAACTTCACACTAGCATTGAATTTCTGGAAGGGGCAAAATCTAAGCGCTTATTTCAGCTATGGCCGGTTAGCTCAGTTGGTTAGAGCGTGGTGCTAATAACGCCAAGGTCGCGGGTTCGATCCCCGTACGGGCCAGCTAATTTTTCTTTGCTACTTTTCTCCCCTTGGGGCAAACGTAAGTTTTACAGATATAGTTGCTTTATTTTTATATTTATTCATGGAAATTTCCCCATAGGCTTCACTTTGTTCTCCAGGACAGTTGGCTTCTATATAGTATGTATAAATAAAATCTCTTTCTTCTGCATCATGTCTCCAATGCACTAAAATGGTTTCTTTTTTAATGGTTTGCTTTGTGCGCCCCTGATAAATTGCGTTAGAGAGGCTGGAGAAAAGAGGACTCCTTTGCATCCTTTTCCTCTAGAAAAACGGGAAACATTTCTAAAAGGTAAAAAAAGAAGCAACAACTGGAAACAAAAGGTGGTTACTGTAACTGGAAACAAAAGGTGGTTACTGTATCAGGTTTCTATTCTACTTTGCCCAGAAAACAAGCTGAAAACTTTTGCCGTGACTCGGATTCGAACCGAGGTTGCTGCGGCCACAACGCAGAGTACTAACCACTATACGATCACGGCGCGCCACCGCTGAGCTGGAAAATTTCTCATGAAAAAGCGTACTTGAAAACGATTAGCAGCGAGAGATGCAGTCTTTAACATTTCGCTGCAGGTTGTAATTAAATTGTTTAATACTGTTCATTAAGCAAAGCAAAAGCCTCCTTCTGATTCATTAACTACCCGCATTCCTTCTGTGTTTTTTTGGCCTTGGTCCTGTTAACCTTTGTGTTCTGCATGCATTTATACTCTTTGGAAATATTTTTCTTCTGCTGACAGCCTATCTAGTTGTACTTCTGTAGAAGTCTAAAGGTATCGGATGGTTTCTCACACATATGTTGCCTTTTTAGCCTAGATAGAAGACCACCCATTGCTCTGACATCTCTCCTGCCTCTTCCTTATTCAGAAAGCGTAAAGAAAGAAACTAGATCGTAAGATTTAATAAATATGTTGCATGTTAATGGTGGGGAATATTTTAGTTTCCTCTCCATCCTTCCTGCAGTTGAATTAAGCCCCTGGTGTCACAGGGTAGCTTTCTTAATCCAGAACTACCGTAATACACCACCTAGTTGCATGGTATTTATTGAAACTTTTGCTTTTTCTTATTTAAAAACACTTTTCAATGGACCTAGTTAAGTTTATATAGAAAATTTAACAGGTATCTTAAAATAGGAGGCATCTTTGCTGGGGGCTTTCTGTAAGTAGAATCTTTTTGGTGACACTCAGGAAACTGAGTAAAAGAAAATCAGGGAAGCCAAAAAAGAATCTTAAATATTAACAACTTAATGCAGGGCATAACATTTAAGGCCATTGAGCACATTTTTTTTTTACATCATTCATTGAAAGCAACGGATATGAAGAAAAGCAGAATTCCCCCTAGGGAGCATACTCCAAAATGCTGCAAAACACAGCCAGCTTGCTTTCTTAAAAGTTGTTCTCAGATTACCTATAGCTGTGTACGGCAGTGATTTTTCCAACTTTCACAGAACCTAAAAGTTAATATAGAACCACCACTTATGATGCATTTTGGATGAGTGGGTACATCTGCACCCACCCTCACAGAGCAGAGATCTTATGGCAAATAAAAGCACTATTTGTTTTGGTGTGTCTGCGCCTTCAGCAATAAATGCCTATTGAAGTTACCGCTGCTGTTTGAGAAGGTAGTCAAATCCCAACTTGGGAGAAAGGCAGGATATCAATATATTAAATGCATAATTTTGAATATTGCTTAGGGTCATCCATGTGCCAGAAGCAAGAGTCAAAACTTAAAGCAGTGTGTTTTCAAAACACTGGTCTGGTTCAAAATGCCACAAAAACTGAACTGTTAGAAGAGTGAAATTTAAGTTTTGCTTTTGAATACGAGGTACAATAGTGGGGAGCCTGATTGAGAACTTTCAAAAAATATAAAAAATGATATATACACGAATTTATATAAACAATGAAGTTATATAGAAAAGGTGTCCCATGAAGGATGCATGAGCAAATGAAGTTATCTGGGTGGTTTTTAAGTGTCTTGAGTTCTGAGATGTCCTAGAGGAGCTGGTTGGATCAAGATGAGGGTTGGGATGAATTACCTGCTCACAAGCCCAGGGAGGAACCCACCAGGCTGGCACGAGCCACATCAGGGGCCCAAGAACCATCACATCAATGTGCATGCAAGACCACCAATGAGGAATCCAATCCTGGGAATGGTCCCATGTTCACATTGCCTTTGTATTTTCTATAGAATAAACCACTTAAATTACTAACTACCTACTCATGACTTTTCATCACCTGTGATGATTACTAGAAAACATAGCTCCCTAAAGCCTGAAAGAAAAATGACCAGCACACAGGTTTGTAGCCTCAGCCGCTTTATTCAGTTTCCACAGTAAAGGATGTGAAGTTCTGCTGGCAAACAGAACATTAAAGTCAACAGCATTTTGTAAGAGCACGAAATAAGTTATTAGGTTTTGTAGATTTGAAGGCTGTGCAGGAGGGAGAATGGAAGACATGGAAAAATTCAAGGGGGAAAATTCCCCTTTTAAACCAGGGGTTTTAAATGATTGGGGTGGGGAGAAATCTTGGAAGAAATTGGAAACGCTGTTGTGCAAAACTTGAGCAATATTTTCAAATAGTTACAGCCAACGAACACTAGTGCATTTTTTTCTGATTCAAGATTCAAAAGGTAGCAATGTAAACAATCATAGCATTGCTACTGCATTGGAGCACTTATTAAGCAACACGCTTAGCACATGATACTGGGAACTTTCAAATGTTGTTGGAGGCAGAATATCATCAAGGATTTGGTCAAATCTACAAAACATGGCAGCCTTTGAAATTTCTCTGACTTTTCCAGCTTCTCCGTTGCCGCAGATTCCTCCATTTTCTGCACTGGGTGAAAAACTGAGGAACAATTGAAGACACACATTCACACAGAAACACAAAACTAACTTTTGCACAAAAGAGCTGATCCATTTTCTGAAACCCATAAAGCTCGAGGCAAATATCCCATGTATGTTTACTCAGAAGTGCCCTAATGAGTTCTAGCGGGTTTACTCCCAAGTGTGTGCATGGTATAATATACTAGTGCATAGTGTAGTGCAGAATACACTACTGAAAATTTTAAATCCAGAGGGGAATTTATTTGTGGCTTTCTGTATGTTGTTGGACACCAACTCTCATCAGCCCTAGCCAGCATGGCTAACAGATCATGAATGTTACACCCCTGCTGCTAGGTTTCTAGTAAGGGAGACAACTGAAGGCGTTGCCAAAAACAAACAAACCACTTAAAATTCTAAGGAAGCACACTCCGGCTCAGTTATTAAAAACGTATTGTGACCTTCGCTACAATACAAGTAGAAGAACATCATACCATAGGCATAGAGCCATTTCCACATGTAAAATCTAAGCCTTGGTGTTTTTAGAAAAGCCTTTCATGACAAGGTGCAGGTGCAGTAAACCTGAGATGGGAGAACCCTTTCTTCATAAATCTGATGTGACAGAAGTATGTTTTGCTCTTTTGAAGACATTCTGAGCTGACATTCTTTTATCACCACACATCCCTACAGTACACTCTGCCAACCCAGACAGGATCAATTTGAATTAATTGAAGCTTTGGGGGTCTTTTGGGCTGAGAAGGGGTATAAAAATAAGCTTTCTACGGTCTACATGTTTACGGTCGTTTTCCAAGTGTCACTAGGCTCACTTTTAGGTTTGGAATGAATCACTTGCAAATGTTAATACGAGACAGAACTGAAAATCGAAAGGTATGCATTCTATTCCATGCAGCTTTTTCATTTTATTTACAAATGTGGGGAATACAAAGAGGGCACAACTTCTAAAATTGGTCCAAGCTGTCACTGCCCAACCCTATTCGGATGCTCTTAGCCTTGCTTCTGGGCCTGTAGAAATGCCTCCCTTGGACTAGGTTAAGGCTTCTTGAGGGCAAAGGCTGAAAAAAATTTCATCCAGCAAGTGAGAAATGTTACTTACTCTGTGCATCTGCTGGGCAAATGTTCAAAAAACTTGCACATGTTCAAATATGTAGGAACATCGGAAGCTGCCCAATACAGTATCAGACCCTTGGTCGATCTAACTCAGTATTGTATGACAATGACTGACAGAGGCTAGTCTCCAGAGTTTCACACACAAAAGGATTCCCTCTTCCCTACAGGAGAAACCAGGGATTGAACTTCTGGATGCAAAGGATCTGCTTCGCTAGTGAGCTACGGCCCTTTCCCAAACGTAATGCACTGTACTTTATATAAGGTAATTTATGCAGTACTGTTTGTGAACGCATATTACAGGAACCTTAACTGGTGACCTAGGGACAGGAAACCACTGTCCAAATTTCTTTTACATTGTTCTCATTGCAAAATATTCCCCATCATATTACTCATTTGAGAAATTATTGCAGATCAAAATGACAAGCTTTAAAATACATGACCCCATAGGACACAAAGTGGATTTAAAGAGAAAGCAACTCTTATCTGCTGAAATGGGCTAAGATAGCCTATAAAAGAATCATGCCAATCAGGAGAGTAAATCAAAGGAGGTTCCTGGAAAAACTGCATTGGTTCTAAACCTTAGGAGCTGGTGCAGAGTTTTAGGGCAGTGTGTGCCGACCACATTTTGAGCGCATTTCACCTTGTTGGGCTGCCTCTGCACCAAGCCTGTTGCATTTTCAGCAGTGCATCATACCGGTACAAATGGTCAAGTGATCCTCCCGCCAAGAAACTGCTAATGGAGCAGCTTGTGGCTTTTAAAATGGATATTTACACATAACAAAATCGAAACACTATTTCTAAGGCACATGATAAAGAGAATAAGTAGATAAAAAACTAACTGCCACACAATGGCAGTTTGATGAGCAAGCAGGCAGGAGTTTGTGTCCTTTCTTCATGGCCGGCTGAGGGCAGCCGACATAGCTTGTCAGGGCACCCAGTCTTTTGGATGGCGCAAAACTTCTAGGATTTCAGCTTCCCTGGAATTCTCGGGAGGAGAATGCATGTACTCCCACCTGCAGACAATTTTAAAATTACAAACATACAATTACTTTCACCTGGAGAGCAGGATGCATGCTCTCTAGACAGTACAGTTTCATACTTCTTTTGGTATCTCAGAGTGGGACCCAATGGGTGTCTGTGTGATTTTGATTCACTAGAGAGGAGGGGAGGGGGTGTCCACCAATTTCCCCCTCTCCCTGCAGCCTGTGGCACTCCAGCCCCCCCCCCTTCAGCTCCCAAGGGTTGGGGAACCCTCTAGAATAGCCAGGAAGACACGCAAGTAAAGCAGTTAAGAACTCCCTGAGAAAAGGTCTACCTGTATGTAAAGCAGGACTTTTGAATATCCTTCATCTCTTCCTCATACTAGATAAGCATCCAAACCACCCTCCCTTATGGAGTTGGTAGCAGCATCTCTCTCCAAAACAGGAAAATATGCCGATGGAGGGACTCAGGAGGGAGGCTGTTGGCCACAAACCCAGGTGAGCACTCATCAGACCCTGAGGTAGTCTAGGGGAAGCAGAGCTTCTTGTACTGGCCAGACACTCGGCGTGTTCTTCATTTAAGCATCAAATCCAGAGGAGCAGAACAAAACAGTAGCTGGATACTTTCTGATGGAAAGGCAAGTTGTTTCTTATTGGTAGCAATATCCCCAGCCAGCCAGCTGAGTCCCCCCAAATTATGAGGAACTACTGAGTTCAGGTTCACAACATGGAAAAAGACCCAGCTGATGGCACTCCCTCACAGTTGCCCATTCACTAAGCACCCAGCAGCAGCAAATATCACTCTATCCCCACCTCTCTCGGGTCTCTCCAGAGGGAAGTGTTCTTCTCACAGTGGCAAGGACATTCTTCACCTAGTGGCTAAGTGCGCATGGAAATATGGACTCTGAGAAAGCTAGTTATTGCTACTTATTGCACAAAGCTAGCTGTAGCACACATTTGGAGCTGGACTCTCTTTAAACTCACAGCAATGAAATCTTGTTTGCAATTAAAAAGCAACAAAACTTGTTAGTTTCCTATCAAGCAACACCTGAAAAGTTCTGCTTAGAAGTTGAGATTATGCTCTTACCTGGCAGTGAGTGGCAAAGACATAAGGATGCTTTCAATCCTAGATCCTGGTGTTGCAAGTCCAAACTTAGTACCTCTGTCATAAACAAGATTGAATTCCACATACCTGTGGGAGAACACAGGGGAGAAAGAGAGACTTTTGTCTGTTTCCTTAAACTGTGTTACTAATTCTGGCTTTGCTAATTATAAGTAAAGGAAAGAAATTCTGCAGGAAATTCTACCCCAGTACCTGGCCAGGCAAATCCTGCATAAAAGCCCTAGCCTTCATGATTTTACTAAGCACTTTCCACATATTTTCAGGTCGAACTTCATTAGAAGCTAAAAAAAAAAAGTAACCCAGAGTCCAAGGATCTTAAGCTGAATTCTGAAAGTCGATGCTTGCAGAGAAACTTGGAATAAATCCAGCCATGCACATAGGTTAGCAACATTGCTGGTAAAAGAACTGCTCAATTGCTTGGCTCAGAAACAAAAGAGCACCAGTGTGAGACCTACTTCGGCACTTGTGCAACAATCAATGCTCAGTATTGTCTCCCTGAACAAAACAGGAAACACAGAAAAACTTTTATTTTTGCAAGAAAGAGGAAGACGGGCTTCCAAATAAGCTGTCTGAATGGACTGTCAAATGAACATCCACCTTCAAGTCCAGTCACAGTAGACTGAAAATTACATTCGAGTCCTAGGCATAATTTTGCCATTCCAACACATGAACCAACCACAGAAGCCTTCTCAGGTCTATAGCAGCATCCTTATCCAATACACTAATCCCCTCCCAGGGCCACAATCTCAACTGGTCACAGGTCTCCTTCCACCTTCTCTAGTTGCTACCTTAGAGTATAAGCCATTGTCTTTGAAGCAGAACAGAAAATGAATGCTTAGTAATATTTTAAAAGTTGGAAACAACAAGTTTTTGGTGTGTCTCAAATTAAAGGAGAGAGAGGTTGAAAGCCAAACAAAAATACAGTGGTACCTTGGGTTAAGAACTTAATTCGTTCTGGAGGTCTGATCTTAATTCGTTCTGGAGGTCTGATCTTAACCTGAAACTGTTCTTAACCTGAAGCACCACTTTAGCTAATGGGACCTCCCGCTGCCGCTGTGCGATTTCTGTTCTCATCCTGAAGTTCTTAACCTGAGGTGCTATTTCTGGGTTAGCGGAGTCTGTAACCTGAAGCCTCTGTGTTGGTGACACATCATTTCGCAACACAATAATTGAGTTTTACTAGCAAACCGGAGGTTAAACTAACCCCTTTCTAGCACCGGCAGGAGTGTGGGGAGCGTTTGCACGACACACCTACACACTGCAGCCGACACACTAATGTGTCACGACACACAGTTTGGAAAGCTCTGTTATAGGATACAGCCAGAGCCACGTCGACTGCAATTTCAAAATGTGCACAGCAGAGAACTCTCTATCTTAAAGACCAGTCACAATGAATGGGGAAAAGAGGGGTTATAATGGTTAGCTTGTCGCTCCTTATCTTAGTGCAAGGAAAAACAGAACCCAACTACCCTAATCCCAGCCTCTACATGGTTTATCAGAAGACACGAAGCAGCCCCTGTGTTTTTTCCCCTTCAAGCAACGCCCTGATCTCACAAAACCAGAACCATGCTCCAAGGCTGTCTTTAGAATCGAAAGATAATCAGACATAGTCAGCACTTCGAATTTCAAATGCTGCAACAAGATTGTTCAGAAACTGTCATTAGTTTTTGGATACAAGTATGCTGATATAGTTCAGTTGGTGGGGATATATTTATCTTGCCAACAGGGAAACAAATTCAGTATCTTCCAATTAAGTTCTGGGCACAACTCAACAGGCTGGCAATTAGAAGCCTTCGGATGATGAATAAATTAGAATACCACTGATGTAGGACAAAGACACGAAGAAGGTTCGTGGTTACTTCAAATGTATTAAACTGACATTTTATGAAAAGGGGGCAAAATGGTTTTGGATTAGCCATCTTGCTGATCAACTGACGAGCAAAACAGCACCCCTTCCCCGTGGTTTGAAGCCTTCCAAAGCTCACCTCCCTCTGCGGATCTGCTGCCACAATTTTTCCTCTGGTGAGAAGGTGTCATGGCAGTGCTTCTTCACAATGGGAACATAGCAAGGCACAATGGCTTTGGCACAACTCTGCACAAACTGAAAGACCTCTTCTTTTGAAGGTGAGTCCAGGTCATCAAAAAATATGCCTCCAATCCCTCGTCGTTCTCCTCGGTGCTTGATATAAAAATAATCATCACACCTACAACCATGAACGTTAGGCACAAAAAAATTGGTTATATTGGCAGATTTTGAAATACATCACTATATACAGCCTTGTGGGCGGGGGCACAGCTGCATAACCTCCACCTTTAGCAGAAGAGTAGGGGGAGGGGAGGGGAGGGAGGGAAGAGAGTTGACTCTCTCTGGTCCCATTCAGTTCTTAATGACATCAACAGTACAGGCATTGGCTGAGCAGCCCTGTTTAGGGACGTTTTTAATGTCTCATGTTTAATTGTGTTTTTAATATTCTGTTGGGAGCCACCCAACCAGATGGGTGAGGTATAAATAAATTTTATTATCATCATCATCATTATCATCATCAGATAGAGGACATCTTTAAAACTATAGGGCAAAAGCTCCAAGATGTTTTATGATAATCTCTTCCTTCCTCAAGTAAAATTTGATTAGGCCTTTCTGCATACCATTTCTTAAACTTGGGGTACAGCTCTGGATTATGCCGATCACAGGCTTCCTTCAGAGTTTTGTGGAAATGAACGGCGTCATCTTTGTCCAAGTAAGTTGGAGTGAGGTCTGTTCCACCACCAAACCACCACTGTGTCGTACCTAAGGGCAAAAAACCCCCCCAACAACTACATAATTATTTTACCCATAAGAAAGTTATTAGATATATTTGAGCTATTTCCAACGCTCCACGAACTGAACTCCACTTATTCAATGGGAGTTCCCCTTGCTCCCCTCACCGCCATGCCCACAAAATCTGCTCTGGAGGGTCCTGCAACCCCTTCGAGCTGATTTTGAGGGTGTACAGGAGGCTGTAGCAGACAGGAATGTTCTGCAAGCAGAAGTCTCTAACTCATCACTTTTTTACATTTACTCTTGTAATATATGAATAATGCATTTACTTACTGACTCATCTGTAACACACACACACACACATATATATATATATATATATATATAGTGAACTTAAGGCAACTGCCTGCATTATATTTGCCAATACATCTGAGGAAAATTTTGAAGGGTAGTTGAGAAAACTGATTACATATAAGGCACTTGTTTTAACTTCTGCACTCTCCTAGGCTTATGGATGAGAGAAATTCTTTTAAAAAGTAATAAAAACCAAGTTCATATATCAAATGCAGGTTGACACTACTGTCTCTTGGTCACAGAATGCATCCTGCAAAACCAGGGATTAAAGCATCTGAAATGCTTCATAAAATAGTTGTGGAAAACTGAAGAGAACATTGTAAAGAAAAACACTCAGATATTTTTAGGATGTTAAGACAAGCAGATTCCACACTGCCTAGGTTAATCGGTAAAATTCATGTTCCTTGAGAAAGTCTTCCCACTGGGAATAAAGGTGATAAATTTGCTACCTACATCTTCTCAATCTTCTTTTCTCCCTCCTGCTGACTTCTCTAATAGGTCATGGCTGTAGAGGTCTGTTATACATGCCACAGATCATCTTGTTTATTAATTAATAAACTATTAATTTTATAATGAATGATTTTAGAGTGTTGTGTTGTACTTTTGTACTGTTTTATTGTTGTTAGCCGCCCTGAGCCCGGCTTCGGCTGGGGAGGGCGGGATATAAATAAAATTATTTATTATTATTATTATTATTATTATTATTATTATTATTATTATTTAGGCAAGCAGAGGCTGAGGAGGGCAATTCTCAATCTCTTACTGCAGCATAAGAATTCTCCCTTCTAAAGGTGGGCTCCATTATTTTTTCACTCACATATAATTCAGACACTCCTGGTTCATTACTGTTCTTACCATCGGCCTCCTCAATTTCAAAGTATCTGTAGTTGAAGTGTATGGTGGGAACGTGAGGGTTCTTTGGATGAATAACGGAGCTCACTCCCATAGCACAAAAAGGCAGTTTTCCTATAAAGCAAAATAAAGGAAGTCTGTGCCAACAATGAAAACACCATCCAGCTCTGAAAACAAAACAATTTTTTCTAACCGTGCTTCCAATTCTGCATCGCGCATCCCAGAAGCAATGTGCACGGACGCACAACTTTTTAGTCTCAGTTTGTTTTTTGCCGAGGTGACACTGGAGCTCTTATGCACCTATAGCAGAGCTTTGCATCGTGCCTGAGCCCTGCCTCAGCTTGCCCTGTATGCAGCCTGAAGCCTGCCTTGCTTTGCTCCCATTCAGAGCCTGGCCTTGGGCAGATCCAGATTTCCAGAGCAACACGCCTTACCACTTTTGCCCTTCAGGGTTTTCCCTCTGCTTCTCATCTGTTGAGCTGCTTCTTCAGAAAGGTGTCCAAAAACTACAGATACATTAACTCCGGCCTTCTCAAAGACTTCTCCATTCTGTAGTACGCAGCTGATGCCTCCCCCACCTGTTAAAACAAGAAGCAGGATTTAATTTCACTACCAATCAGTTCGAAATGAGTGTACGCCATTTGTAAAGACACCTGTATAGTTATCCAAACCTAGGCCATTTGGTAGCTTAGCTCTTCAGAACAGGAAAAGGCAGCACTCAAGCTACAGAGGAGGGGCCAGGTGGGACTTGACACTTTTACACTTTGTTGATGATTTTGCTAAATCTGGTGCATTCAGAAGGATGTTGAATTAAATTGATGTTAAAGTCTTCCTTCCATCCATGCCCCTCAATAATTTGAGCAGTGGGATAAACTGTGCAATGATAAAACTTTCAATAATTATCTTGAGTCATGAAAAATTCACAGAAGTATTATTTCAATTAAACTTCAATCAAGTTGGGATGCATGACCACTTCATGGAGAGACAGCTACTAATGACCTGAAGCTTGTAAGGAACATTCACCGACCATGTTCGCAGGTCACAATACGCAAGATGGCCAGCATATTATGGTTTCAGAAATAAGCAGCATGCGTGTACCCCAGAAGGAGAAACAACCCAGGAAGTCATCATGAAGGGTGGCTTTCTATACTGCCCTAAAAAAGGAGAATCCTGGTCCGCTGCCTCCTAACAAACCAGCATTTAAAAGCCAACAACAAACTATGGGTTAAGTCTGGTTTGCTAAAGAGCAACAAACCTGGGTTTGGGCACCACAGGAAGTCAAGCTTAATTGCAGCTTCCTGGCTTGCACAAAGGAAGAGTGAAGCAATTGGGCAGTGGCTACCAGTATGCTGCTGGTTCCCAATGTAAGCCAGCAACCTTGGCTTATTGTGATGTGTGAACAAAACTACAATCTGTTACTAAGCAGAACTATAATCAGAACTACCTTCCACCTTATTAAGCAGAAAGAAAATCAACCAATTAAGTTTTTCAAAAAAATTAAAGTGATATTTTTATAAAGCTTCCTCTCAAAAACGATGTGCGTTAGGACAAAAAGTAGATGTGATAGTTTTTTCTGGTTTTAAAGATGCAGTGTTCTCTGATATTTGTAAAGAGAAGATAGGACCTCAGTGGGACCCTCCTTTCTTATCTGCTTCACTCCACGCACCCTGCACGCCACACTGGCCTCAGTCGTACAAAACCCTCCCTTGCAATCAGTCGCGCTCATCTTCAAAAGTCAGCTGCCCATTAAACACAAATCATTTAAGGGAATTTTGCCTCTAAAAATGGTCTAGTTCAATTAACTTTGAAACTTTGACTTTTACAACTCTTCTGCTTCTGTTAGATAACATTTTGTTCCTGATCTGGCAATTCACTCCAGAAGCAAATATGATTAAGTGTAAAATTTAAGGTTAAATTGCGTTAGATAAATTATGGAACAAAATTTGAGAAAGAGGGAAAGGACTTGCTGAAACAACTAATTGAATTAGAATACAAAACAGGGGGTGTGAGGAAGTCAAGGAAATAAGTAAATGAAAGATAAAGATATGAAAATACTGGATGGGTTGTTTTTTTTTAAATGTTTTTGTTTCTAAATGTTTTTCTTTTTTATTGTTTTGTCGTATTGTTGTTTTTTATTGTATTTTCTTTTATTTTTGAAGTATTGTAACTTTTTATTGGCTGCTTTTCTTTTTTCTGTAATTGTTAAACTTTAATAAATATAATTTTAAAAAAAACAGAAGCAAATATGATTAACAGGAGAAAACTGAGAGGCATTTATTAACAGCCCCTGAAGCCCTGGGCACAAAGTCACAAACAGAAACTGTTCAAAGGTTAGGTACTCTCATATTAATTACATATTAAAAATTCTAAGATTACATTTTTTAAAACTCCAATTATCAATCTAAGGCACACACTTCCCAGATGTCTACCTGTCTTCCCTAAAGGATGTCCCTCTCATAAAGAGACTTGTATGAACATACAGTCCAGATCCTATACACAAAAGATGGACTAAAAAATTGCCAAATATAAGATATTCTAAGCTTCCCACCCCTTCCAATCTGCAACTGCCTTATGTTAGACATTTTCACTGTATGTACACAAAGACCACACTCTCTTATGCTCCAAAATAAGCTACTATGTCCTAGTTTGATAGCTACAAACACGAATGGATTCAAATTCACCGTTAAACACAGTGATAGGAGTATGCGTGTCTCACTTTTTTGAAAACTTCCCGCTACAGCTCACACTTACTATAGCTGTGTCAAAACACACAGCCAAACGTGACATTGTAGCAGCACCCCCAATTACACACATTTATACAGGCACCCCTAAAACTCACATGGCCCATACTCAAGTGCAGGTAACACAGGTTACATATCCTTTACCCTTGCACTAGTTTATTGCAATCACATTCCAAGTCACCAGCTCTTTGGGTGAAGAAGGGAGTCAAATCCAAACTAGCTATTCTGGCTTTGTTTTGAAAGGTGTTGCTCAAGCAGTGCTTGCAATCCTGTACACACTTATGAGAAAGTAACCTTGTGGTTATTTCCCCATGAATAACCTTGTGGTTGACCTTACTTACAGCAGAACCAAGTCCCTTGAGTACAGTGGTGGCTATTCTGCATCAATGAGGCTGCAAACCTAACCCTGCTTACTTAAGGAAGAAACCCCCACTGAATTCAGCAGGGCTTAGAGGTGGTCAGAACTGACTGCCTTTAAGGAGAGGGTGCTTTGCTGTGATGCTTTTATCCTAGATGATCTCACTGAGATCCCTGCATGGCAGGGGGTTGAACTGGATGATCCTCGGGATCCCTTCCAACCATAGCTGTCAACCTTCCCTTTTTCTTTGCAGGAAATTCCCTTATTCCAGCGCCTTCCCGCTGCTATCCCGGATTGTTAGATATCCCGTAGGCTGTCCCCGGGACAGGTGATGCTGCTGATCCCTTATTTTCAAATCTGAAAGTTGACAGCTATGCTTCCAACACTACGATTTCAGCGATCCGTTTGCTTTAACAGATCGTATAAATTCTATCGATTTTTTATAATTGTTATTACGTTCTACGCTTTTTTGGTTCAAGCCACCTTGAGAGCCCTTGCCAGGGGGGGGGAAAAGTCAATGACAACAATAATTCCGGGAGCCCGAAGTGCACGTGTAGGACGTGCACTTCCGTGCGTGTGCTCGGCACCCCCCTCCAGAATTTGGGTCACCTTCCTTCCTCTCCCAGCGGTCCACGGTGAACTGGGCGCCGCGGTCGACCTGGGCCAGGGCGCTGCACACCTGGCTCTGCGTCTCCATGATGAGCAGCTCCATGCGGCTCCGCATGGCCCCGCGGCGGTCGCGCAGCTCGCCCAGCCCGCTCACCGGCGGCGCCATGAAGCGCTCGCAGCGCAGCGCCAGCTCGTCGGCGCCCTCCGCCTCCCGGCTGCCGCCGCCGCCACCGGCCAGCTGCCCCCGCCGCTGCTGCTCCATCTCGGCCCGCCGGGCCAGCCCCAGCCCGGCCAACACCGCCGCCGTCGCCGCCGCGCCCCAGCCGAGTCTCTCAGCCCAGCGGGAAGCTCCCGGCGGCGCCCCGCAGCCTCCTGCCCAGAAGCTCCTCCTGCAGCAGCAGCGCGGCCCGGCGCCCAGCGACATGCCCCGAGCGCCCGCGGCGCAAACCCCGCGCACCAGCAGCGACATGGCGAGCAAGCGCGGAGCTCGGCCACCGACTGCTTCTCACGGCCCGGACTACAAGGAAGCGGCGCACACGCCCCCTCGCCTCGGGAAAGGGGCGGGGGAAGCAAGCAAGCAAACAATCCGGAGCAAAGGCTCCTGGGAAACGTAGTTCGGCGCTCCGTCGTGCGCGTCGCCGCCGGGAGGCAGCCAGACTACAACTCCCAAGCAAGCTCCGGAATGGGCGTCCGAGCGGGGAAGCGCCTGCTTGGCGCAACGCGGCGGGCAGGGCAGCACGTAGCGCGAGAGGGAGTCGGTGGCGTGCGCTGAGCAAACTGAACTAAGCCGCCCTGTGATCGTCGGAGGAAGCGCGGCATAGAAGTTCAGTAAATAACAATACAGTATCCCGCAGCCCTGGGTCCCGTTTCTCTTAACGTGAGAGCGTCGGATCACGATGCATCAAGAGGTTCAGTCCTAAGCACTCGTGGAGTAAACCCAGACGAAGGAATTCTTAGTCCTGGTATATGTGTTGTATCAGGTTGGCACCACCTCGGCAGTGGGGCGTCTTGCACTAGCGCTGCCTGAAACGGGTGTTTCATCACCCCACCTGGTGGGTGGACAGGCTGCGGTAGGTGGCAGAACTGATTATAAATGGCCAACTCAGTCTTGGAGAAGAGGTGGTGCTTTGTGGTGTTGCCTTCACTGCCTCTCTTACTTTCCTTGTGATAGGAATTTTGAGGTCTTAAAGGTAAAGGTAAAGGTACCCCTGCCCATACGGGCCAGTCTTGACAGACTCTAGGGTTGTGCGCCCATCTCACTCAAGAGGCCGGGGGCCAGCGCTGTCCGGAGACACTTCCGGGTCACGTGGCCAGCGTGACATCGCTGCTCTGGCGAGCCAGAGCCACACACGGAAACGCCGTTTACCTTCCCACCAGTAAGCGGTCCCTATTTATCTACTTGCACCCGGGGGTGCTTTCGAACTGCTAGGTTGGCAGGCGCTGGGACCGAATGACGGGAGCGCACCCCGCCGCGGGGATTCGAACCGCCAACCTTTTGATCGGCAAGCCCTAGGCGCTGAGGCTTTTACCCACAGCGCCACCCGCGTCCCCAGAAGAGGTCTTAGATATATGTTAAATGTTCATAAGTGTATCAACAAAGTCCGTACATAGATCAGCACAGGAAGACCGACCTGGAACCATTTTTGATTCCCAAACTGACCAAATGTTTTCTCTGCAAGGTTAAAGGAAAATGGAAAAGCCTCCCCGTTGTCTTTTCCTTCACAAATCCTGTCTTAAGGGTATGTCTGTGTTTGAATAGGGTGTGACCTGGCCCAGGAACTATGGTAAGTATCATTACAAAAGACTGGCCAGGCTCCTCAGGCAATCCAATCTAGTAAGCAGGGTATCCAATCAAGTAATCTGCCAGACAGGAGATAAACAACGGCAGGAGAAAAACAACATTCAAATTTCTGTTTTAGACCGCCTTTTCTGTGATGTTGGTATGATGTATCTGGGGGTGGTCTTGATCTACAGGGTGGCAATTTCAAAAGTCTGTATAAGGCCTTGCGCGCCATTGTTCTGGGTTCCTCCTCCCTCCTGTGTGTAGTGAGTGAGGACCCTGTTGCAAAGATCAGGCTTACTAGCTGCTTTGCTTCTCAATATTCTCTGGTTGGCCTCTGTTATTTTCTCCTACCATAGGGAACCTATGTAAGGACTCTATATGGGCTCTTGGATGCCCCATAAGGGAAAAAGGGCAGATTTTTGTTTACAACATCCTGCACTAAAAAAATGGTACAGAAGAAAGCTATTTGCTCCCGTGCAGATGTTGCGTTTCTGAAATACACAGTTTTTTGTGATCACACAGATATTGATTTCCACCTTCTGCTGCTGCTATCCACCTGAAGCAGAAGTTCGCCAAGGCCTCTAAAGAGATACTTGATGTCATTATGACATCAGATGATTGACAGGTGGGCAGCTTCAAAGTTGGTTTGCAGGGTAGGGCAAGATAACCATCTGGCCCACCAGGACAAAAAGTTTATCCACCCTGATCTAGGGACCTTTTGTATTCAATTGTGGCTCAAGCCCCTGCCCAGGAAAACCTAGGACCCTAGTTTGGATGTCTGGGTAACAATCCCCAAGCTCATGAAATATGGCTAAGCACAGTATTTATTCGAGTTAACAGACAATAGCAGCATTAGCAATCTGTCCTTTTGTGAGGGTGTGTGTGTCCATTTAAAGACTGAAGCAGAAGGCGCCTGATGAATCTCTGTTGCCAGTGGATTTCATAGAACTAGGCCAACAACACTAAAGACTTGGTTTCTTGTTGCTGTTGCTGAGCTGCACTAAAAGCTCAAACAGACTGCCCTTTGTTTCTAGGCACAGGTCCACAGTTTAAAGCTGCATGTCCAAGTAATTCCTACCCCAGCAAAGACAGTTCTGAAAAATAAGTTTGAAACAATTCTGTGGGAAACCTGATTTGTCATTGTGATGTTAACATATGAGAGTGCTGGAGGTGAAACAGGGTATCCAATCAGAACCCAGGGGGGTGGAGTCAGAGGGTATATAAAACCAGCTCTGGGAGGGGCAAAGGGGGAGTTTGTTGGGAGTTGAGTGGTTGGTTGGAGTGGGCGTGAATTGGATAGAGTCTGTGGGTAGGTTGAGTTAGTGTAGCAAAATAAGCTGAGTCAGGAACAGTTAGGAGCTAGGAAGCCAAGTAAATATCTGAGAGATGGTTTAGTGAGTGAGAGCAGGTAGCGGAAGTTATAGGTCTGGATAGGCACTCCATGAATGTAACTGACCGATACTGTTTATGAAACCACACGCTTGTTAAACTGCAATAAATAAACAGGAGTTTATGTTTCAATTTAACCCTGACTGGACTCAGTATTGTCCCAGGTAGGGCCTGGGTGGTGGCAGCGAGAAATAAAGTAGTGGCACAGGGATCAATAGACGGTGAAACATCCGGAGACGCTGTGTGATCGCCACAGTCATTTGTTCTGATTCAGTGTTAAAGAGTGGGTTTTCCTGGGGAAAGACACAGATTGGGAAAGTGCAGACCTGTGCCTAGAAAGCAAGGTGCAAAAACTAAGGGTGAATGAGCTCTAACTCGGGGAACAACCAATAAAAACTCCTGCAGTTAATCTTAGTGACTGAGGTGGCATATGAGGGTTCAAGTGGTCCCTGAGGTATGCTGGACTGAAGTTGTTTAGGGCTTTGTAAACTAATACAAGGACCTTGAACCTGGCCCAGTAGTAGATGGGCAGCCAGTGCAGATGTTTAAACAATGCTGTCACATGTACTCTGACAGCAGCAGGCTGGCTTCTGTGTTCCACACCAGCTGGAGCTTCTGAACCAGCCCCAAGGGCAACCCCACACAGAGTGGTTATAAGCTTTCCTAGTCACAGAAAAAGCTTAGTCCTCCAGTGACATATCCAGGGGTACCTGCAAGCTTGACAAAGGGTAAAGTATACATTTTATAAACAAACAAGAGACTGGAAAATCAGAAGTTTCTGTAAATCCACAGCTGCCCTTCTCCTCCCATTGTCTAGATTTGCTAGAGTAAGTCTATGTCTTTTGAAGCAACTCATAGCTAATTCAAGGATGCAGTCAGTGAGGTGGAGTGCCTTGTGCACTCTACAAAAATGCAAAAACTTGAGAGTGCTGCAACATAAATTCTCCAGTTGTTGTTGTTTAGTTGTTTAGTCGTGTCTGACTCTTCGTGACCCCATGGACCAGAGCACACCAGGCACTTCTGTCCTCCACTGCCTCCCGCAGTTTGATCAAACTCATGCTGGAAGCTTCAAGAACACCATCCAACCATCTCGTCCTCTGTCGTCCCCTTCTCCTTGTGCCCTCCATCTTTCCCAACGTCAGGGTCATTTCCAGGGAGTCTTCTCTTCTCATGAGGTGGCCAAAGTATTGGAGTCTCAGGTTCAGTATCTGTCCTTCCAGTGAGCACTCAGGGCTGATTTCCTTCAGAATGGATAGGTTTGATCTTCTTGCAGTCCATGGGTCTCTCAAGAGTCTCCTCCAGCACCATAATTCAAAAGCATCAATTCTTCGGCGATCAGCCTTCTTTATGGTCCAGCTCTCACTTCCATACATCACTACTGGGAAAACCATAGCTTTTACTATACGGACCTTTGTTGGCAAGGTGATGTCTCTACTTTTTAAGATGCTGTCTAGGTTTGTCATTGTCAAATTCTCCAGTAGGTGGCAGCAATTAACTTGGGTGTACGCTGCAAATGCTTCTGCCATCTGGAAGGCAGGAGGAAATTTGTATTCCAACCGGCAGGTATCAGCAGAGAAGGTCCTGTAGCTGCTTTCGATGTCTAGACTCACTCTTTCTTTCTTTCTTTCTTTCTTTCTTTCTTTCTTTCTTTCTTTCTTTCTTTCTACTACTCCAAAAACATTTCTGTGACAAAAAATTTGAAAAGGTCAGATTCCATTATATTGCAAGGGAAGACATAGACATAATCTGCTCTTCCCTTGAAACCAGTTTCAGGAGCGTCTACATGTCTATGTCTAGACTATTTCTGAAGCATCAGCCAATCCCAAGGGAAGCAGAATCCCAGCTCCTAGAATGGCTCATATACTTATAGCCCTAGTACGGATTCCAGAAGGATGACCCCACTTATTGGCGGTTTCAACCAACAGGAATTGCAGCCTAGGATTTTCCCTATAAGGTTAGCAAATCTCTCCTTCAGGATTAAGCACAACTGTAGTTCAACTCTTAGATCTAGTGGCAACAAGACCACCAGGTCTCCTTCTGTTGTTGTTGTTGTTTAGTCATTTAGTCGTGTCCGACTCTTCGTGACCCCATGGACCAGAGCACACCAGGCACTCCCGTCTTCCACTGCCTCCCGCAGTTTGGTCAGACTCATGCTGGTAGCTTCGAGAACACTGTCCAACCATCTCGTCCTCTGTCGTCCCCTTCTCTTTGTGCCCTCCATCTTTCCCAACATCAGGGTCTTTTCCAGGGAGTCTTCTCTTCTCATGAGGTGGCCAAAGTATTGGAGCCTCAGCTTCAGGATCTGTCCTTCCAGTGAGCACTCAGGGCTGATTTCCTTAAGAATGGATACGTTTGATCTTCTTGCA